ATGGCTAGTATGTATCCTCGTTAATGTAACAAAGTCAGGGGTAGCCCTGTGGCTGCCCTGGCATTCGATCCAAAGTTAATAAAACGTGCCAGACCCCAAAGTGGTCACCTTAACATAAAAAAAAAAAAAAAAAGTTTTATTTTATTAACTCTTGTATTATTATGATATTTAATAAGATTATTAAGCTATAACAATATTGGCATATAATAGTACCTTAGTCAATTTGAGTCTAATAAAATGAATTTATTCTTTGTAAATAGTGAAAGGTTCTTCTTTTGCTCAATTGGAATAGAGAATAGGTTGATTAGTATTTTAAGTGTACCAGGTACACTTTTGAGAAGATACTTATTCATATCGGTTATATTTTTAGTACTTTTATTGTCTGGTGCATAATAATAAATAATGGGATTCCTATTTTTAATGCTTACGACCTGTATTTAAATTGGCAGTGCAATAAAAAAGTCCTCCCTTGTCGTAACATTATCCGTCAAATATTCGGTAGCATTTTTTTCATCGGATACAATCACTAGTGTAACGTAACCAGTAATAAACAATATCGGAAAAGCAATTTACCTATAATAATCTTACTCTAAAAATAATATAAATTAATTTAAATTACTTCACTCTAGTAATATTGGTCGTGGAATGATGTTTATGGACTACCTTTTACTTTAAAAAAATTCTTATACAGTATTTCCATTTCTATCTCGTACTATTTGATTATTGTAATTGGTCGGAGTGTTGATTTAAATAGCACTACATAACTGATTTTAGGGCAGTGCTAGGATGGGTTATCGTTCTTTACAAATCAAGGTCCGGGTTCGATCCGGTCGACGGATCGGACCAGATCTTTTGCGGAACACTATCTGCTACATGACTGGATTTTTCAAGGGCTGAGGCCATTAATCGAATATTTGTATATAAAATTTTTGACTTCGGACTTATACCGGATTTTGATTCTTAGTTTAACAGCATAATAACTGGCCAAATAATGAAACATATCACAATAAATATTCTTTATAACGCCCGTTTATTCTAGTAATTTATATAGAAACTACAAATTTATCAGGTCCTACAACTTATGAAGAATGTGAAGAGTAATATTGCTTGGAATACGTAGTAAAAATCAAAGTGCGTTAATAATTTATTGGTTTAATTACATATATTAAATTTTAATTAATTTATTAACAGTTAATGCCATCACCACAACGAACACTTCCACCTTCAAGACCAATACAGCTTATTGAATATGTAGCACCTGAGCATGGATTACTAGTTACAAAAGCACATTCACTATTAATAGGATTAAAGTACCATTCAAAACAAGTTTGATTGCTAATACATGAATTACAACATTGTTGCGGAGTAAAACCGATGCCCATCGTATCATATCCTAGAGGTATATACCCTAAGTCATTCCACCCTGGACTACCACGTGTTTGACATGCTGGAGTTTGTGTAGTATTTGTAGATTTAACAGGAAGTTTATTATCAAGTTTATTAAAGCGAGTGGGACTATTAGCATGTATGTTAAAACGAGTGGGTCTACGTGCACTAGCATTAATAGTCAATACAAGTAAACTTAAAGAAAGTGCAATTAGAAAAAGATTAAAGGTTTTATATTTCATATTGCTTGAATTATATTATGAAAACAAATTGTAAAAAATTTATTAATATATTCAGAAATTTCGTCAGTATAAAAAATATACTTTTTAGCATCTTATATAAAGAAAATTTAGTTAATTTAGTTAGTGCTACGTATATACTTTTATAATGTTTTTTTTTATAAAATGCATAGCTTAAGAACCAATACTTTATGAAAGCGTAAATTTGAATAAATTTGCATAAATCACGAAAAAGTCTGCCCCTATTTTAGCCAATTTTCCTATAGTGCACTTGCATGGGTTAATATAATTACGCATAACATCGGATGTTACCAAATTTGGATGTTGTAGATCACACTATTGGTGCTCTCAGCATCTAAATCAATATGTCTGAGTTCAATTTTTAATTAGTGGAAAAGAAATTATTTGGTCAAGCGAGTTCATTATCGCGATAAAATAAAAGGTTAGAGCTATTATAGAGTTAATGTCCGCGTTTCGCAACGTGAATTTTCGACAAAATTACCGTAAGGTTTACTTCAATTAATCGTAATACTTGTGCACGACCTTTATAGCTAGCTAATTACACTGTATGACTAATCTATGAAACTCCATGAGGCTAAATTTACGATCATCGTTTGTTTTCTTATTTGGTAAACAACTACTCTTTAAAACCCTTGGGACCATGGCAGCTGGTCCTTGGACAATTTATATTAGAATTAATTCGAAGGTTTATTAATAGATGATTTTTTTTTATTTAAAATAAATAAAAATACTATATAGGAGGTCGTCTAAAGCCAGGTGCGTTCACGTGACTTACAACCAATCAAGGCGTAAATTTTGATTTACCCGGATCAGCC